GATATGTTAAATTATATATCTAAGCATATTATTATCCAGCACTCAAATCTATTTCCCATTGTTATTAATAATCGTTGTGTTAATTTAGTCTTATTTTAGTTTAATTGAAAAACTGCATTTGAAGTATTAAAAAAATCAATCACATCAAAATTTAGATGGAATGATTGTGTCCAGTAACTTAGCAGTAACCTTGAGGGCTTATAAAGTTAAATTTCGGGTTTCGATTCCAACGATTCAATACGAAGTTGAATGACAATAATAATTATTATACTTTTAAGAGTTTCTCGAGGTATTTTTGCCAGTCTAATCACTAGTAATGACGTTATAGCTTCTAACAGATGAGCTTTTAAAATTCTAAAATAATAATTAAAATTAGTAATATATAGTCTTAGTTACATGTAACAGGAAACTACAAAAAAAGCTTCTATGATCACCCTGCTATAGGTCCTAGGTTGGAGACCCCTGTTCGCGTACGTTTCAACCCTTAAACCAAAAAGCACCCCAATAGAAATAAAAAAACAATTTTTGAATTCTGAAATTAAAAAGAAGTGTAAACCAAATGATAACTTGAAAAACAACAATAAAATTTTAAATTGGCCATTTAACTTCTCAAAGAAAAATTTGGTTATTTATACTATAGCATTTGATAAATTTCATAAATACACAAAATAATAACTTATTAATCAAACGTACACAATGTATTTGGATAAATTCAACCAGTTGGTAAGACATCACATCAATAGCATTCTTCTTAATCATCCAAATAATGTAATATTTAACTTTGCTGATTGTGACTGAAGAAACAGAATGAAAGTATAGTCTACAGTAAGTGATGCATCGTATGAAATTTAAATTTGATCTTTTTAAGTTTTGAAAAAAAAGCATTATAAATAATGCAACGAAGCTCAAATAAATAGACTATTGTACCTAGTAAAGAAAATATATTGTTACGTTTCTGCTAGTTTGTTAATTTCCCGTAGAGATTCTTTCCGAACAACTTCAGCGATACAAGTCCTTTCTTAATTAAAACTATTTTATTCTTTCTCGATACAACTTTGCAATACACAGAATTTCCACAGTCATTTTAATTTCATCCCAAAGTGGGGGACATGTATTAATAAAATTTATCAATACCCATCGTGGAAAATGAATTCCGTATTTTTGCATTGTATGCCTGTAAACAATTATCACTGACTC